CAAAAGGTGGCAGGGGAACGCGTGGAAAATTTAAATTAAGTCGGTGGTACTACATCGCGCCAAGTCGCTACTGCGTTTGTCGAATGAACCGATCTTGAATCACGAATGCAGTCTCTCTCTTTCTATTTTCCACCTCCACACTTCAGAAACAGCAATGCACGGACGCAAGCACACACACACACACACATACATACATACCAAACCGGGGCAGTAGAGAAATTTACGATTTCAGATGAGGCAGTTGAGATATTTCGCGCTAGGTGTATATAACACCTACACTGAGAGAGCAGTATAGCAGTCGGTGGCAAATAAAAATATTGCTCCAACCATATCGCTACTACAGAGACATTTATGTGTGTCATAGCAACAAATGTTGTAAGTTTGGCGGGTTTATATGAATAAACAAAAGCGAAACCCGGGTAAAAAAGTTGCTTCCCTGTAAGTGGTCTTAAGATTGCTCAGCTAGCAGTTCTGCTCTCTCGGTGTAAAGCTCAACGCAGTGTTTCATCAATGTCCCAGTCTCAGTCGATATGAACATCAACGATGTTTTAATATCGATAAATTTTCCAACTAAGACATAAACGTTACTAACTTCTTCAGCTGCGAGTTATTGGGTAAAAAGTGTCGATTTGAGAGAAGAGAATCAAATTGAATGAGTTCATACGTCAAGAAAGACGCAAGATACACATGAATCATACTTAACGGCTAGTTCTCGGGTCTTCGGTAATGAAGATCTACAACTATGCGCAGAAATTTGGATACACACAGGCGTACAAGTATAAAGCGAGCAACAAAATAGTTTAAATCCGTACAAGCAGCTAAATTCAAATGAACATGGCAGTTTAGCACGTGTAGGTAATCATACACGTAGAACGCGCAGTAGTAGCCGTTTTGTATATATAACTCGAACTGTATAGCGCATGCGGCATATGCACTTATATGTACGACGTATATATAGGTATACATTGCAGTCGTGTATACGTACGCACACAGGGCGAGAGCAAGGATTCATAAATAATTTTATCACTCCGCCTCGTAAAGAGACTCGAAAACTTCTGCTGTGACGTGTACTTCTCTGTTTGCGTGCGCGCAGGCGAGCGAGCCTGACACGTTGTATTATATGCATCTGTGTGTGTGTGTGTCTCTCTCGCTCACTCTGCTATATGGTGTATACACATGTGCATTAACGAAAATCTTCTCTCCGCAAAACGTTGACGTATTAGATATACATACGCTCGCTCGCGTCGCGGCATTAACATCCGGTCTGCGGCGCGTGAATTTACTGCAACGTATACCGGCGGCCACTATTCGAGACGAGTATTTTCCTAGGCGCAGCCCGAGTCTCTCCTTCTCTCGATGCAGCGATTTGGCAAAACGAAACGTCTCGTTACGGCTTTTATTATGCGTATACAATGTGACGTGGAAATCGCGTGTGCGGGATGTTACGAATCGCGCGACACCGGCGCGCATCATCCCGCACCGGCGCGAGAATATTTACCGACTTCTAATGTGCATTTACAATCGTATACACAACTGCAAGGGGTCAAACTCTCTTGGACGATAATTATTTTTCTTGGCCGCGAATTATGAAGTTACCGGCGAGCCGGTGCCGCATATTCAATACCAATCCGACTTATATATTATGGACAGAGCAAGGTTACCAAAGAGAAAAAGAGAACGAGAAATAACCGGTATTTTCATTTGCCCCCTTCGGGCTCGACTCTGTAGTGCTTTTAACGCCGACTGCGTCGGCTTTTATATGCGAATCATAATTTTTATTATCTCACGTATAAAAGAGCAGCGGAAAAAAGAGAAGAGGAACGATACTTTTTTTACTTTGGCTAATTGCAAAAACAAACCATCATTAAGGGAACGCTCTTTTGCGAGGATTTTTTTCTTTTATCGTACTGCTAAAATGGTGAGGCATCTTTCTGAACTTCAATTTTCAAGATATACTCCTTGTAAATTACCATCGAACTGATCGAGAAATTTTCCATTTTACGTAAGAGAAAAAAACATTTTAACATTGTACTAGATTTTCTATTCATTTATAGTTCTATGCGATTATAAGAATGCGACCTAGTCCAAATCTAAAGTTATCTGAAATACTCTTCGTCGAAATGATCGATCGAGCAGAAGCTCGATCGTTGAAAGATCTAGTAAATTAACAAAACCTCATTAAGTCTCACGTGAAATATAATTGCCCAAAAATAAAAGACATAAATTTATGACAAATAACGCCACGATCGTGAATTGGGACATCGTTACGAGCTCTATTTGGACAAAATGTTTTATAGTGTCTCCTCCCATCAAACAGATCGATAAATCTCAAACCTTAGGAGCACGCATACTTACAAAAATGCTGGCATTGCAGCTTGCTGAGTTAGCTTCTTGCATTGTATATACTATACTGCAAAATGCATTTGCAGCTTGCGCTCTTATTCTCTTACACTGCAATAAAATGATTCCATTCGACAAGAGATGAAACTCATGAAGTAAGTTCGAGGTTGGTAAACATAATAACGAAGAGAAATAATGATATAAACGATGAAGAATGAAGGATAAAGTGAGAAGGAGGGTCGAAGAGGAGAGTATAGTTTGAGCTGCATCAGGGCCGAAGTAAAGCACCTATACATTGGCAGGCTACAAATGTGGCATGTGGCAACAAGAACGTGCCAAGAGAATTGATAAATAACTGTATAACTATCATTTTATTGTATTATTTCATGGTAGTAAATAAAAAAATGTAATATAAGTTACAAAAAAACCAATTTTTATTTTGGTTAGTACTAATTATTATGTTCGAGTAATTATTCGACTTTTTTGGATAAAATTATAATCAAACTAGGAAAAAATAGCATGAAACAACAATTAATCCTTTGCTTGGAATATTCGTTCGATAAAGATGCGGTAATTTGCGTACGAACGACTTTGCCACGACTAGTCGATTAATTTCTCAGACGCAGCACTTTAGGTCGGTCGGTTATTTTCTTTCTTGCGCGCATTATATATAGATTAAGCAGGGAAGAAAAAGAGAAAAAGGGAAAGAATGCCACGCTTGCGAGCTCGTTAACAAGCTGGCAGCAGTTTTCGAGGCAAGGCCCGTACGTACAAGATGCATGTGACGGAAAATTGCAGCGAAGGAAACGGCTCGTACGATCTTCGTGATGAGATCTTTTATTTTTATTATTTGCTTTTTGGATAAAATAGCTTTGGGTTTATCATTATTCGGAAATTCACTAATCTAAGTCGTTTATTTATTTGTTTCAGCTGTCAAGAGAATGGTCGTCGGGTTCAAGCTGGGTTGCACTCCGTGCAATATTCTAATTACGTGCAAGCGTTTCCAGGCTGTTTTGGCGCTTACAACAGATCAGAAAAAAACAACGTGCCGAAAGAGTAAGATTAACGCACATGCGAGGTTAACCCCTAATTTCATTAAAAAAACATGAAGACACTGCTCTTGAATGCGTGTATGCGCGGTAGGAGAATAACCCGAGTACAAGATAACGATTCAGATGAACGACTGCTGAACATTGTGTCGAGAACTATATAACGCTCACGCACTTGCATACCCACACAGTCGTGCGTATCGTTATGACGTATAGGTCCATTGCAGGGGATAAAAAAACAACTCGCAAGGAGACTTTACAAATCTCTGTGCGAGCATGTGTGTGTGTGAGAGAGCTACGTGTACTTTTGCAAGATCAAAGGGCAACATTTTTCACACTGGACGTATAAAAACCAACTTTTGTTGTACAACAATTTTGTATACAGTCTGTAAGACAAAGACGAGAGTTGCCTGGATATGTATACACTGTAAGATGCCATGTTGGGCGCCCCCGAAGAAATGCAACAAAGTGAAACGGACAAAAAATCGAGAAACTACATTTACGCAGTATACTTCGTAAACAACGTCGAAAAAGTATACATACACTCGTGCACACACACACCTTTGATCGCGTCGTTACGATTCCGCTCGACGTTATGCTTTATACGGTCTCTGTATATAAAATCGTATACGTGTACCCCAGTGATGAAGATGCAGATGCAAAAATACGCAAATATGCGCGGCTGCGCATATTTATACGTACGTACGCGATTTACAAAGTGACGAGTACGTACAGTATAGCGCACGATGTAAAAAAAAAGATAGAGCACGCGCGCTTGTATATACAGACGTATGTATAAAAGTACGCGAGCGAGAGAGGATGTTGACTCTTTTGGCGGGGTCCTCCTTAAAGTTGATTTGTGCTCAATTATCGCGTGCACGCGCCGCGTCCAGTACGCGCGTTCTTCATGTGTTCACCGCAAGCGCTTATTTTTGAGGCGTCGCGACGATTTTATTTATACACGAATTGCCACCACCACCACCACCGTCATCGCCGCTGCATGTACGTACGGTCCCGCTATGCTCGCTTCGGCAGCGAGAGAGGTGGATCCGGCAATTCATTTTGCGTTTTATAACTTCGCCTCGTGTGCCTTTTGGCCCTCGCTCGCACGTGTACACGACGAGCTCGCACGGCGACGAGCTGATCTCTCGATGCCGCGAGCTGATTCATGCGTGCCCAAATTATTCTGATTTTCTCGTGCGCGCGCGGCCGTCTAAAATTGTTTTCAAGGGACTGGACTCGGCATCTCGCTGCCGCGTAGATCGTATCGAGTCCGAGTTTGTCTCGTTTCACGTGAGATACGGAGCTTCGAGTCGTGAACTCAAAATTACAATGTTTACAAAACGCGAGAACAGAGATAACCCGGAGAGTTATAATGCTGATCAGAAACGCCAATGACGGGAAAGTTGGAGCCTTGCGAACTGCTTGAGCTGTACAACAAACGGAAAGCCCGCTCCCAAAAGCCCACAATGTAAGGATTAATCGACAAAAACCAAGAGCCCTTTCTTCCTCACTGCAAACGGATTTAACGAGCCGAAACGTAGCTATGGCTCTAAGGTCAATCAACCCAGTTACAAAAAACTATACAAAAAATTAATGAAGGAAACTCACCAATTGTTAACTTGTAAAATCGTCAACCCCGTGTCTTGTGCCAAGGCTTTCTTCTGGTCTTCAGATGGGTATGGATGCTGAAAAATAGTAAAGAAAAAAACAATTAAAATTCTGCGTGCTGACAAAGGTTGGGCAAAATAGTACATAAATTTTCGGAGTTTTAATTGAAAATAATAACATGAAACGTGAGCTTTTGTGTCTATGTATGGTGTGGCTGCGCGGACTCGGAAGCTGCGCGTAAAGCTGCAATATTCGAGCACACGCGGGTATATGGCAAAAAGTAGCAAAATATATTCGATATGCAAGTCTAGGGAGCATGCGTCGGGTCCGTGCTCCGCATGCCATTGCCGCCACGATAGCATTACGCGTCGCCGAAGCGCACCTGTGCAAAATATTATTTATTGCTGGATGAAAAAAAAAAAGTGGCAAGAGCATATAGCAGGTAGTAGTATAGAGGAGCATACACAACGGCTGCAGAAAAAAAAGGAGAAATGATACGCGGATGTTCGCTGCGAAGTGTATGTATGCTATATACGTATATACGTACGCGGCGACGCTTTTTATCGGCGTTCGCATCTGCGCAGATGTGCACAAAAGTTACCTATACGTATGTGTGTGTGTATGTGTGTTGTATATACACATCGTCCTGTGTACTCACTTATACGGACGTGCACACGTATACAAGACACAGACTCAGTCTTAGCTCGGTCGAGCTGCACAGTTTTACCTTATATCTGTACACATTTACACAGAAAGACATGAAGCGTGTTATCAGATTTTTCAGACTGCCTTTTGTGTGGAAAACGGCTGGATAAAGTAAACGCACGCTCCCGATGTTGATTATTGCGATTCAGAGACTAGATAAAATTGACGCTTGAATATGGAAATAAATTCGTCGCATCGTTAATTGCGCTTGGTGTTTCGGAGCCGTTTTACTTACTTACGCACACACATACACAAAATAATGCACTTTTTTAATCAATGTAAACGCAGGGACGCGTATTTGAAAAAAAGGAGTATACGTTAGGCCCATGGGCATAGGTTTGAAGACTAACCACATGATATTTTTCCATAATAAACATAAGAGTGGCTAAGCAACCCAAACTCTTGGCGTATATAATACGATAATACGTATATATTTTTGGAAACCACAGACGACAAGCAGCAAGAGAGAGAGAGAGAGAGAGAGAGAGAGAGAGAGAGAGAGAGAGAGAGATGGAAAGAGAGAGATTGACCCTGCCTCGTGCATGGGTAGAGACACGAGCGTGCATGGATATCCCGCTCGATAGCTCGTGTATATCATGTTTCTTGGAGACTGGCCATATAATATCATAACGCATATTATACATATAGGCGTGCATATACAAAGTCGCAAAACGAGAGTCACACCATGCGCGGGTGGCGCTGTTGGACGCAGTTAGCGATGTCACATTATATCCCACCGTTACTCAGTCTCTCTCTCTCTCTCTCTCTCTCTCTCTCTTTCTCTCTCGGTCTCTTCGTCTCTCGTGCTCTCTGACTCTGTTTTCTGATATACATGTGTACGATATTATATGCTTGTATATACACGAACAAGTTATAGCGCAAACAGAGAAGAGAGTAAAAGAGATTCCTATCCCAATTAAAGCGACAACGAAGACGACGGCGACGACGACGACAAGAACGAGGACGAGGACGATAGCAGCAGCTATTGTTAAAGAAGCTGCTGCGCAAAGGCGTCTCTTACGAGGTAACGAGCGCTCGCTAAACGGATGCAACGACAAGTTTCTTTTGTGGATGCCGCAGCTTTACGCACGAACATAGCCACTGCCTGGACTCGTTGCACAGTAAAGATCTACTCTTCTCCCTTGGTAGCTGCACTGGATTTTCTATTTCTCATCGTTATACCTACACCGGCTCATTCGTGAGCGAGCTTAATGAAGTATTGGATTTAATATCAAGAGGATGTACGTAATTTTGAAGAACAATGGCTAACTATAGGAGCTCGGTGCGCGATTGGTGAGCAGCGTTATTACCAGGGGTTTTTGAATGAAAAACGATAAAAAATCAGTGCAGAATGCGAAAGTTGGAAGCAAAAAAGCAAACCGAGAAGTTATACCGGTCGAGAGCGCAGCAATGATGTCGAGACCGTTTTCTAGGATAGACGCACTGGCTTGCATTCTCCAAGAGGCAAACGACGACTCGCTCTGCTCTCGCTCTCTCTCTCTCTCTCTCTCTCCCTCTGACAATAGTCTGTGTGTGTATATAAATCAGGAGCAGCAGGTGTGCGAAACAACAACGCCAACGTCTAGGCTCTCTCTCCGAATTAGCTGATGTATGTATGAGTTTGTGTGCAGTCGGTACACACCGTGTATACGTATACACGCAGACACTGAAGCTTATATACAACACGCAGTGAGTTACAGAAACAGCAGAGTGTCGTCTATCATTCCCTCTCTCTCTCTCTCGTGTCTCCTCTCAGCTCGAATACGTCTCGGGTACATTCGTACTTTCTCTATATATATATGCATAAAATAATCAAAATAATTGTCGAAGCTTTCTGGGCTTTGTGCGTCTACGTGCGAGACGCACAGACGAAGGCCAGTATAACGGGAAAGAGCTATCCAATTACATTGAAAACAATAGTCCTAAGTGCTGCCGGCGCGTGGCAAATATACGCTGCTATACTGCAACTACTTTCCAGCTCTCTCTCTCTCTCTCTCTTTCTCTCTCCGTCCTAATATATACGTACATCTGTGCAGATCACAATCCTGGCCGAGTGAATTTCTTTGCTTGACAAAGTGTGAAAGATTGGATAGCGAAATTCGCGACATTCATATGAAAGCCTCTTATCTGTGTTCTTTACGCGACTTGATTTTAATCTGATATCATAGACGGAGTTGAGCGAACTAAGCTAAGCGAAAATTCAGTGAAAACAAGCGAAACTTTTTCATTTTGACTCATTTGAAATTCACCGAACCACAATTTTCAGTACGAATTGAATTCAATTTTTGCTAAACATTTATGTAGGCATTTTCTTCTTTATTTAGATGCTCCGAGTAATGAGCAGGTGACCCGACGAAAGATAACGAAGCTTCGAAATTCACTAGTCAGGATCCAAGGGTGAATTTTATCGTAACAGAATTAACCCATTCAAAGGGTCGGAAATTTCTTTCCCTCTTTGAGCTTGCGAGTCCCACTCGAATGAGCCATAAAATGAAAATGAGCACTAAAAAGACAATGCGAAAACGATTTGGAGCGGCAGTATCTTCTCTCTTTGTCTCGAGTAATGATAAAGCTGCTGAGCAGTAGCATTGCTGGTGATAAAGGGAGAGGACGCAACGTCGAGTCGATTTCAACGAGGAACAACAGCCAAGCCTAAATACGTGAATTTGGCCAATTGCTTCCTTATGCCTATGTATGCTCTATTACTTCAACGCGCACATAAAATTAGCCCCGGGCACGTGCATGTTACTATCTACTCAAGAGTCACTTTGGAAAATCTCCGCTGTGCCATCAAAAATTATATTTGCAATTTGCAAGGGTACGCGTGCATCAAACGTCATCGACGCCTATTTTATAATTGGCGAGATTATTACATTTAATTCGGCGGCGCTCGATATCGCATAACGAAGCTCTTTTCGGCGCGTCTGCAGCGATCTTCGAATGCTGCGTCAGGTCAACGCCTACCCGTACATCGTGGGCGTCTCCCCAGACGTGATCCTGGCTGATTTTCAAAGCTGCTAATGCTGCGCGAGCGCTGCGGAGATGTCCCCAAACGAATGACATGCCGATGACGAGCCGCCACACTATGTACGAAACGGCGCTACGTCGAGCTCGCGAGAGACTTGCTGACTCCGGTTAACGAGCGAGGCGTGGGACCATCGAGCTATGTCATCATCGTCGATGAAGACGTTCCTACGTGCTTCCGACTTGATTTCACCATGTCGTCGTGGCTCTCTCGTTCTCTCTTATTCTCTCTCTGTATCTTTTTTCTCTCCCTCTTCCTCTTTTTAAATTCTATTTACACGACCGGAATGAAGCGAACAAGATTTTTGATAGGGAATACAAGCGGCGCGTCATACAGAGAATTTGGACAGATAGGTTTTAAGTTATAATTGATCGATCGATGGTGTATGATGGTATTTTTTAATCGTTGACGCAGCTGATCACTCAAAAATCGTGACAAAATTATGCCGATTGGTGTAACAAACACAACTGACATTTAGCAAACTACCACGTACTGATATATCTACGTGAAGCTTTACCGCAAGTATATTCTATTGTCAATGAATACACATTATCCTTAAAAAATCGCAGTCAAATTATATAGAAAGTAAAAAAAGAGAAAATGTATTTATACGTCATAAACATTTTTCAGGACATTAATTCGTTGAACGATAAGACGCAAACGACGGCAGCCCAATTCAGCGGACTCGGGCAGCGATGTAACAAAGCAGCAGGTCTAGCTAGATTTGAAAATAGAATTTAACTGGGCTAATGAGATTTACTTTTTTTTGCTGAAATTGAAGTTTTATCTCGAGGCAATTATCTAGAAGCTCAAAGATTTGTTCAAAGTAAATGTACAAACCGAAAACGGCAGAAAACCTCGCGTTTCTCACGATATAGCTACAACAGTTGGATCGATTTGAAAAAGAAGGTGTGACGCCGCTGATCGCGCATACGATATTACATACGTATTGGAATAAGGTCCTGTACAATACGTGAGAAAGACTTCGACAGCGCACGCATGGGTACTTGTGGTTGATAAAAAACGTACATAAGCGCACTGCCATTATATTGTGTGCATATAACTACGCGCATATATCGATACGCAAATGCTGAGTCCTCTTTATACGAAGAAACGAGCTTCCCTCGCAGTCATCCTCGAGGGGGCCCGGTGTTTTAGCCATGTCATCGTTGGTAAGCGAATGCTTTATCGGCTACCGTGACTCTTCCGTGCTAAGAGTAGACGTTGCGAATTTTTGGGGGCGTCTTAAATAAACACGGAAGATTGCTTTATTCCAGTTATACACTCGGCCGAAATAAAAGTCTGACAAATCGATGAACATTTCTTACGTAACTATGCTACGGGGTA